TGTCCAGTGCTTCCGAGCTTTTCAGTTCACGCTTCATTTGCCATATACACGACGAATTGTCATTTGAAACTTAACCAAATCCTCCATTACCCACATGAAATTAAAATTTTCTGTCTGTACAGAAATCACGGATGAGCAGTGTACGGAGTGTTTGAGACGAAGGATGGTTCTGTTAAGTAAACAGGAACCTTGAGTTAAATCCGATAAACTGTGCCAATTAATTTTTCAACAATGTATATATTGAGACGTAATAACATTCCACACTATTTCTTCCACTAACTAGATATTACCATGCTGTCGGCTCATTTTTCGAGTGAAGGTTAGCACTTCCGAGCATAAAACTAAAACATTTTTACATCCACTAATTTGGCACTCACTCCAACAAATCCTATTTAGACCAATATATGTTGAATATTGGGCAAAATTGAAAAAACCATTACACCGCATGATACACAACGAGAACAAAAAACGGTCCATGCGCATCATGATCGTCAGAAGTAGGATGAACTTTTTCAGGATGCGCGAGGAATAACTGTTTATTAACTGTTGTTTTTTGGACAAACGTTACAATTAGTATTAGATTTGACTTCTAAACATCAACCTATAACGTCGCCCAGATATATGTTTAACATTGGAACGTAATGAGGATAAAAAATTTTAAGAATTCTGGTAGGAATCACTATGGTTACGTACAACCAACAAATGATTTCTGATCCACTGATTATCATTTTGGGTTAGGCAGGTTTTCAGTTTATCGCAATACGCCGGATTTTATCGAAGTTCTACTTCAATCTGGAAACTTATGACTAGTCGTTATAGTGTTACTGAGAACTCAGGGTGCAAATATTGCATATCAGTGCAAAAATTGCACTCCATTTAGAGTGCTTGTATCTGCACCCCGTGCTTGGGGTACAATAAATTTGCTTCCCGTCATACACTTTAGCTCAAATTCTCATGGGAGGGGCCATGTGGTAGATTGGTACTGATTTCGGTTGATCAATCTTCTGATTTAATTTGCGTGTGCAATCCCCACTCAGATTGTACAACAAGCCACAGACTCAAAAACCACAATATCGATGGCTTCTTTTTTATGAGGGTCTATCGGTAGTGTGTTTTCTCCTCATCGTTGAGGTTTGGATGTGAAAAGCAAATCTAAATGGTTGCCTGTTTTACTTACATCTTGATTCGATAGTCATTGTCACCGTCGTGCCCTTTAGTGCGAGTTCCGAACCTCACCACCGCTCCCAAACCTTGGCAGCGGGCAGCTTTGCTGTCGTCCGGTTCAATACTAAGCCTAATCTAGGGGTTTGCCACTCCAAGTTTTGGGGTTTAGGTCACCGGTTTTTATCGCTGGACAGCAGATCTTCGAGACCATGTGTCTTCTGTTCGACACACAAAAGTAAGCGTAATATAAAACACAGATTAAAAAATATGCTCTTATCGTGAACCTCAGTACTATCTACCTGAGACAAATGTAAGCGCGATGAAAAAGCAAGCGGTATCTGTAACCTCATCATCTCGAATGTCTCCGTCTGAGTTATTCTCCCAACATTAAAACAATACGCAAAGTCAATAGTTTGTGACAAGATATCGACCGTTCCGATGCAGTTGCATCTCTTAATCGAAAGATAAACGCCAAATTTAGGCCAGTTGTATTCGAACCTATCAAAACGCAAATGTACAGGAAGAACCGATATTGAATGCCACATATACTACTTGATAAGTTGATTAGGTAGCATATGCCCATTATTGACTTTCCTCATTAAGTGAAATTACTCTATTCAAATGGGTCTACACTGAATACGTCGCTTCGCTTTTTTTAATATTCACGACGTTAATAGCTTTCGCTTTGTGGAAGTTCGTTTTGTTCTCCTTAATGTTATCCTCATCACTTAGCACAAAGTTTTACTGTAAGATTGTGTTTCGGGTTTCTACACCCCAAGACAAAAGTACTCTACACCTTTAGAATTTTTGATTATCTGCACTTCTATATGCATGGTAATCATCAGCTTTGAGAAACTAGATAGCACCTGAAAAAAAGGTCGAACGAAGAAATCGAAATAAATTTTCTTTCATCTTAATTAAAATATATTGAGAAAATCGAATTTTCCTCAGGGCTGTATAGGATTTTGAATTATGTATGTTTCGATATTATTACACTCCACAATCAACAAGCTCGTAATTCGTGGTTTTTGTGTAAACTGGATAATTGGTACACCTTTCAGGTAGCCGAAGTGCTTTATATTGAGCTGTACGCAAGCCGAACCATTGTTTCAACTGCACGAAATGATAACCTAATTCATTAAACATGGTTTATGAACCACCACAATATCATGCTGAAAAATGGTTTCAGGGTAATCATTCGATGCCACCACTGACACAAGGTGCCACTCCGTTGTAGTGGTACATAAATTAGCATCTCGCACCCCGCCTGGTAAAGAGAGTTCGACTGGGTTGTGGCTGGACAGAGTGCCTCAAATCACCAAACAGTTTCGATTTTTAATCTGCTGAATGTAGTATCGTTCTTTCCATAAAGCATTCTAGCACGCCAGATTCATCCAACTTAAATTCAGTTTCGTCCCTGAACTAGAACAAATTCCATTTGTTGTTCCAAATTGCGCGAGTTTTATTTCACGCTATAGGGGTTTCTGGTTATAAAGCTGCGAGCCTTTTCTCTTCTTGTATTTCACACATTAAACTGCTTTTATTGTTTCTTTTTTCTGTTTGCACTCAAGCATTCAGTTTAAACACCGTTTCCACGTCCAATGCATGACTCATGGAGTTTAAGGCCATGCACGGTAATCTGCGCCTACCTTTTTTCGAGAGTCTTCTCTGGAGTGCAATCTATTTGCGACTGGTTTTTAACAATTTCCGCTTCAAATATCTTATAAACATGTGATCAGGGTTGAACCAAACAGTCTGAATATCTTATGTGTGCTGACAATGATCTCACGGATGGTTTCGGTTCTGGGTTCCTCGTTGTCAGTACGACTCTTTCATCGGGCCGTTATTGGCAATGTCTTGTCGTGACCTGCTTCGAGTTCTTTATTCCTTCAAGGTCGTTGATGATGACCTGAGCATGAGGCCACTGACCCCAACGTGTCGCATGACTAAGCGCTACTCTGTCAATCATTGAAGAATCATCACGTTTGCCAGTTACCATGCTGAAGTACCAACTCGAGATATCTGATTCACTCGTTTACTGAACCGGACTGGAAGTGTGAAATCCATGTGCGAGGGCAGTACTTTCGTTGCGGTGAAAATTCCGTTTTAATTCCATACAATTTCAAATAAAATATAATTTGATGTAATTTCGCATTTCAATATTTCTTTCGAGTGCTGTCTGGATTCTCAAAAAACGGTGATTATACAGTATGTGGGTGCATAGGTAACCCAAAACTCTCGGGGTGCACAATACATTTGTCGCAAGGTTTACCTTTGAATGAGTTTATTACTACCTTTCTCGTTGAAACATTTATGACAATTTATTGTGAAGAGAGAAGCACACACGCACACACACAGTTCATGACTGACAATCTCAAAACAATGAAACGCAACGTTATTGAACTTTCCGTGCACGTCCTCAACACACTTTACCGCAATGCTAAAACTATTTCTTTCCCCTATTACGAAACCAGACCACACGAACTTCCGAGCCAACCAAACCGATTTTGAGTACGCACTACACCTCAGCTCCGGCCCCAGTGACACATCGTTACACCTACTATCATCCATCGGTTGTGACGGGTAAAGTTTACACACCATACCGGACTGGATCGTACAGTTATTTGACACCGGAAGTCCAACACGAACGTCGTCGCATCGAGGTAAGCGTCGGCGTCCCAAGGTGAGCGCAGTTCTTAGAATTAGTCAGTATTTGCCCGATTCAGCGCAATATGAACATCGCTTGACAGATAACCGTTGTTCCCTATGCAGATTTCGTCAAAACCTATCCGCGATATTCGTCAGAATGGTCTATATTCGATCGTGACGGGCATCTTCGGTAATTTCCCCTTGAACACAAACATCTTCCTTCCAGCTCACTCCAACTTATCATTTGCGAGGTGTTTCGCTCTGATTCCTAAACCCGAAATACATTGCTAACCTTTGATGACACCATAAAACTATGCCAACCACATATTTCAAACTAACAGTATAAAACAAACTCAGCTTTCTAACTGTACTTTCCACGGATATAAACTCAACAAACAAATAACTGTCCGAAATGTTGTATTTTATTATTTAAAAATTATAATTAAGATTAAATACATCCGTTTGCTGATGTACTCATTGAGTATCAGTTTGGTTAACATCAGCTAAAAGCAAATTCAGGAACTGAAGCTTTTGGGTAGAGACAAACGCTTATGTTTCGCCGCTCATATAAAACCTGGTAAGTTCTTATATCTCTTGATACAATGCTGTTGGGTTAGCTATAATTATTCGGCACTGATTTATTCAAGGTATTATTCTTTGTTCTGCATTAATTTCGTTAAACTGCCAGAAACACTGTCAAACTTTATTTTAGATATAATTATTTTAACAACAAGCTTACAACGATTTTACGCCAGCCATGAAGGTCAACTTGTATGACGGTTTTTAAAGCCTCAGCGTTTTCTCCACTCCGTGACCTTAAACGTTATAGTGCATTTTGGCCTATCCTCACGTGACCAACGAACATTTATTGATCCGTACAGAGACCAAACTGCAGTCAGCTGAGACGTTCACCATTATAAGTTGCCTATGGTTGATCAAATTCAAAATGTGCCCGTTGTGTTGTTGTTGTGGCTATTGTTCACAATTCACATGGTTGAAGACGAAAGCAAAATGTATCCAAACGAGGTTAAAATAACCAACAGAGCAGCTTCGCTGTAAAATCCAGATTGAAGTGAATCCGATCGAGTAGAAATACCGCAGTAGTAAATCAGAGATTGCTTAGTTCTGATCAAATTTGCTTATTCTACACCGCGTGTAGTAATCCGTTTAGTCAGACACTCGATGCCCATCAGTAAAAACCTTCGTGATATCATAACTAACATAATCGTAAACCCACCGATTGCATCCAATCTAGGTCAGTCTACAAGAAAATCAGGAGCAGGAAGTGTCGTCGGTAAGGCTTTCCGCAGTAGCACTACTGTTGAGGCGCGATAGTGTGATCGATTGTGTCACAGAGTACTCTTGTTGTTTTTGTTGTTGTGCGGGGTGCGATCGTGAAAATATTGCAGTGAATCCGATCAAATACGTTCACAGCCTCGTGCATCGTTTGTGAAACTTCCTTTACACTTGTTAGTTTTTGCTCCGCTTCCATCTGGTCAAGCATGCCTTGGTTGGAAACGATTAAAGATCTTGTTTCATAGCTTGTAATTGCGCTGTGGCCCTATCTTCAAAGTAATTTCAGTGCCAGATTCGGGTGACTTTTTCTTCAGCGCATACTTACGTATTCATATATCTCTCTATCTCTGTTTATGCTTTCCTTATACTGCATCAGAAACGGTGATGATCTATGGCAATTGGCTGTTTCCGTTTCGCTGATATTTGTACTCTTTTACGCGGTCGCGGTTTTGACTTCGCAAGGACATGCGGTTAGGCGTACACTTCTTTCCCAAGGTATATTTACACGAAGATCAAATTTAACGTAAATCAGGGTAGTGAATGGTGATTTCGACCAAGTTTACTAATTGCCATGGACGACCGTTGCAACGTAGGAGATGGGATGGGGCATTTTGCAATTAAGTGTATCAGAAAAATGTGAATTCTGTGTCTGATGACATAAAATTAATTTGAGAAGTGGATTCTTGAAGAACATTCAGAAGGGTGTGATAGTCGCAGATCCCACGTAGGATAATAACCTTTTGAAGGAATGCACTTCTCCGAATCATCCGAGGATACTGTTTGCCGCCCAAAAACTTGCAGAAGAACGCGGTGATCGTGGGAAGTAAACAGGTAAATTGGTTTTCCAGTTTGATTGTCCCTGTAAAGCATTGCTACGGCAGTAACAGTAATGTGTGTACGAATGAGGAAGTGGGCGGGAGAGAATCAGTTATTTTCGTATCTATTCCATCATGTTGTTCGTTTGAAAATCAATTAGGGTTGATCAGCTACCGTCCTCGGACTTTTCCGCCTCAAAATTAGTGATCTGTTTCGGAAGGTTGGATTGTGTTGCAGGTTCACGTGAACAGTCTATTCACGTTTCTCTAGTTTCCAGGATCATTATTTGAGGTTTGTCAATCCTTTCAGGAAAAGACGATGAAGTAAAATAGTTTTTCTTGTACGGGTATTTATCAATCTCTATCGACCAAGAAAGCAAGAGAACATACAAATGTTGCGTTTCGTTATCTCGGTCCAAGGGAACACATGCCGGAGAGAATATTCGCGCTCATCCTCACATTTCTCGCTGACTGTTTGGCTGTTGGATTCAGTGCGATTATTCAGTTTTTCGATATCCCAAACTGGTGAAAATGAGTAGATTCACTTTATTTTCGCACTTGTTTTTTTCAATCGAGAAGAATGCATGTGGCGAATTGTTTACATTTGTACGTGTGTGTTTGTTTGTATAGGCGTATGTTTCCGACGGCTGTTTCGTGTGTTTTGTCAATCTTGGTTTCTCAGTTGCTCTGAGTGTGTTGATACGTTTTTGTCTGTATGAGAAACTCGGAAGCTGGCATGCACTAGACCACCATCTTGCATCGTAACATCATGATCATTCTGTGCATACTGATCGTTCGTTCGTTCGTCCGTGCGTTCGTTCGTTCGCTAGTCCTGACCTGACTGCTTTTTTAATTTTTGTCATCACACCACCACCACAAACCACAACAACATCCTCATTACCACCATCATCACCAAACGGCCCTGACACACACACACACAAACACAATTTCACCTGCTTCTAGCGCCGAATGGACGACCTATTGGATTACAAGTTGCCCTCACCGGAATACTTCCGAGATATGCGAGGGTCCTTGCGTCATTTGCAAGACCGCTTGGATGAGCACCGTCGCTTGGTCGACAAGTACTCAGGCATCGACATGAACGTGGCTCCCAGCTCCGTGGAGGATCGGATCGAGTCAAAGTACCAGCAACTGGCCAGCAGGTTGGTTCCCCGTCTAATCATCCATGCATAAACAGTCCCAAAGCGTGAGTAAGCCAGAGAGTCTTTCAGGCAGAACATGGTTGGAAAATGGATACCAGTTCCCTTCTGCTTGCCTGACAAGAAATAAGCAGTTCAACCAGTCGAATGTCCATTTACTTTTTGGTTTCATTAGTTCCCGGTCATTTCGCAACTTGCCATTGCTCCATTGCGTTCATTTCACATTTATTCACTGAATTCGATCATTCATCATTTTGCACTCCCCAGGGATGTTGCCCTGCTCACTAGGTGGAAAAATGTGTCTGTCGGTGTGTCTGTCTGATTATCGCCCTGTTCTTTCCTATGGTATGCTTACACAAACATTTGTCTTTTTTCAATTCAGTTCAAAGCATGCCTTGCACCAGTCCCCAAACTGTTTGCCCTTGAAATGTCTTTCTTTAGTGAGAAGAATGTGAGCTGTAATCCCCCATGCAGCGGCACCAGTTGATCAGCTAATATGGAAAACCGGCACCAAAACTCACGAAAAACCCTGATATAACCATTGGATCTTTATGCCGATCAGAATCAAGAGTGGGTGCTGCAAAGAGTATTAGAACCTTAAACGACAGACGACTGTTGTCCCAACAACTGAGCATTGTGGTCCCCACCATAACTGAATCCAGTTGTCCATCATTTGTAATTGTAATGCCTTGGAAGGTTTTGTGAGACTCAGGACGAAGATATTTGATTTTCTTCTGATGAGGTGACCGACCCATCAGGTCCCGATTTGCACCATTCCTGACAAGATACAACACCACCCAAGTTCTGAAAATCTTAACATAGTGCTGTATGATGAGTGTGAATATCAGTCGACGGGATACTTCCCACATTATACCAGTGTATTAGCGATAGGAGAACACTGATATAAAAACTAAATCATTCGTTCTGTGTTCAATAGTGTTAGAGGAAAAAAGAATAGAAAGAGTGGTAAAATGATGCCCATTTTAGATGGTTTTTAAAATAAAATGAAATCACATCGGAAGTTCGAATGTGTCAGGGACAATTGTTCTATTGTACTGTATTGTAATGACCTGCGAAAGCAACTGTGTCTACATTTCGGTCTTCAGTCTATCTCAGCTTGTGTTTTCGAGATCCAGTCAATGGAGTATCGAACAGCAAACACGCGTTCTTGAGAGATTATGTTGATAAATTGAGAATAAAATTGCAACCCAACGGTGGACCCGGTAGTGGAAGTCAATGTGGGGTCACCAACAAGATTGAATAGCCTCAGTTTGAACGCAACCAACGGGAGCCAAAAAGCGAACGTCCCCGAATTTCAGGTATGATTGCAGCACCCTATAGTAGGGCTTCTATGAGTCTTGTAGACAAACAGTTCTACAAAGAATGAAAATAATCCTATTATTGGATTAAGTTGAGGCCAGAGTTGTAACGAAAGGAATCTAAGAAAATGGCATAAACAACTCCGAACCACGATGTAATTCGGAACTGAATGGCTAGCTTCTAAAATTAAGGGAGCGGCAGTAAGGAGCTTCTTTGAGGGAGACGGACAGAGAGGCTGTTCTGGTGGGGTTAAATGAAAAATCATCAACGGCTATTGAAACCAGAGGTAAGAACAACAATGCCAGTTTACAAGATCGCTCTCAAAAAATGATTAATAAAATACAACAATGAGGGGACGAGAAATCAACTTCAGCAAAGATAACTGAGTTCCACGCAAACAGATTGGCCTGGTCACCGCTTTGCTATCATCTAGCGGCTTTTGTAGCCAGTTGAAATCCCAAGTTTAGTGATTTTTTTCAGTTGATCTATATTATTACCGCTTTGACACAGACATACCAAATACAGAAATTCGCAACTGTGAATTGGTCTTATTGTGTCCAGTTCCTCTTCAAACCGCAGAACGACAAACCTTTACTGTGAATATTCTTTTGAACAAGGAAAAGCCAATCGTTTAAATTTTATGATGCATCAACTTACAAAGCGTCAACTCACGTTTGCAATGATTATCGAAATTATTGTATCTAACGCTCAAATAACTTGCCGCATAAGTGAATATTCTTCATACATATTTACCTCACAATTGCCCTATAACTAGTTACTGTATTTTCTGATCCTGCAGACGTGTTTGGTTGATTTATTCACGCGTGACATTAAATCCTTCCTATGAACGGTACAATGTTGCGAATTATATGCATATGAGGATGCAGTGTTGGTTTCGTTTACAAAATGAGACCTTATTCATTTTGGTGGGTGCATTTGTACCGAGATTTGTTTTTACCGCGAACACGAATGAGGGAGGACGAGTATGGCGTGCCGAGAGGTCGAGACAGATCGTGTTTATTTCACATGTGATTGATGCTCAACTGTCGTGTATCACTTTTTGCGTCACTCGCCGGTCGACCTTGACCAGAGAGAGAGAAAATCTCGTACGACCTTGCGCAAATGTGTAGTGGGATGAAGTAAAACACGTCGGAACGTGTGAATCTTTCTGTTTCTCTATTAGTCTACGGTTTATGTCGATGCACACACACACACAAACGAGTGCTGGTTGATGCGAGATGGAGTTGGATATGGTAGTGCCGGGCAAAAACATTTTTTATAGTTTCATTAGAGTCGCCTGTCTCGTGGATTTGCAAGCTTTCGAAAAGAACATGCCTCATCCGGATGCAGACTCGCGAGAGAGTTTAAGAAGACTGTTGCAAATTCGGAGCGTTAGCTATACAGATTTTTGAAGAATATGAAAGGCTGTAATTTAGACGAACTATCCCCGAGAATGGGGGCAAATGATGTTAGAAAGGTGTGAATGACCCCAGCAACTTTGTTTACAATACTTCACGCTAAGATTTTACGATAGATCAATTGTTCAGTAGATTCCTTACATTTTTCATTTTATTTTCTGTGTGAATTACACTCTTCAGCACACATGCATTCTACACACAACCAAATCGGTAATGCCACAATGACCCAACCTGAGAGGATTTAAAGAAAGAAGTATTTCCAAATAGGCAGCACACAAGTGAAGACATTCACAATCGCCACATGACCCTTTACGGAGAAAAATCTGTCCTGAATGATCGCTTTCCGTTTACGTTTTAGAAAAAAGCTAAACCTGGGCACTAATGCACCCCTAGTCGCATGTTCCCCTATAATATCGGACTCCTAGTTACACACCCGGTGTTGATTGAAAATAGAGAGATCAGGCCCATAGTTATGAGAACCTACGGTTCTGTTATGGGAATTACCCATTTGTACCCCGGTGAACCACAGATCGGATGGGAACACGGCTGGCAGTGTCAAGGCTCAAAGCTTCGAAATTAGGGCCTGCGAGCATCAAAGACAACCAATAAAATGGCGTGATTACCACCACAACCAACACTACCTCCAGTGCTATGAAAAGCTATTTCAATCTCCTTGCAACGAACGAGGGAAACTGATTTGGCAAAGTTTGACCGTGCATTCGTTGTGCTTTGTGATCGTCGTCAAATCTCAAGCGGTCAGTGTGCTTCACGAAGATGAAGGTGATGTTTTCAGTTCACAGGAGTACATGAAGGTATATTTATGCTTTAAACCGATGTCTGAATTCCCACAGTTCAGACTGAGGTCAAATGGTTCATCCAAAGTCGACCAATATGAGGGAAAAGGTCAACTGCCTTCATGCCACACAGTTTGTTAATGGGTATGCGGTTTGAGTTGTCCGGTCTACTCGAGTTTTATTAACCTCTATTCACATAGGATGGGCCGTATATCCACGTAAGTGTCTATTTAGCTTGTTGATCACTGGGCCGACAGCATAGAATGAATTTTGACCTTGCTTGGGTTCGTTGTCATCCTTCAGTTAGGCAGTTCATAGCATGTATCAATGTTATCTTTATTTTCTTATTACTCATTGTGAAAACTGAATTGTTACATTTCTATTTTGATTTGGTCTTGCAGCCTGTGTTGATTTGATTTCGGTTAGTGCTTCGGGTGATTATTTACACCATAGTTTGAAATAACATAACACATTAGATTTGATTTCTTCACTTTCACTGATCAGCTTGAGGAGATTTTCAGTAGCCTTGGATAAGTCTTGGTTTTTATCATTTCATCCAGGTGACGTGCCACAATCATTTTGTTTTACATTTTGATTTTTCAATCAATTGCACGCGTTCAATTCAACATAGTCTCTCTCTTATTTCTTTTTGGTATTCCTCTCTCTCTCACACACTCGTTCACAATCTGCCGTCCATCACCTATCGTTTCCGATTTGGTTTGTTCCCAAACCGAACGGTTCTCTCCGTTACTCGGTGTTTTGCAATTATGCCCTCACTCGCCCGNCCCGCCCGCCCGCTTGCTCTCTCTCTCTCTCCCTCCTCTGTAATCCAATGCGTTTGTGTCCGTCTTATTTGATGCACGATTGAATGACCGCGCGCACAATGTTTCATTTCTGTATCGAATGTTGCAATATCCTTCAAAACACATACATACTTCTGAAATTCCCCTTCGAACGAAACAACTCTCTCGTCCTCCTTCTGTATGTATATACGTTTTTATACACACTTATATATACACACATTTCCCTATATGTGTATACACCATCGTATGCATCGGTAACGGAAACAATCGTTTCGATAGAATGCCAGAACTACCAAAGTTTCGACCTCACGGTCCGGCTGTCGATACGTCAGAGTCGGTGACCCGCCTGTACTATAAGAGTCCTCAAACCATTTTGGTAATTAGCTAAAATAGTACACATTCAGTTCTGTCCACGAAAATGCCAGAATACCACAACTGTTTTAGAAGAGGCTTTTATTGAAACCACGCTAACGCCTGAATCTCGAATACCCAATGAGCACTTCAACGCTGACAAAATTTAATTTGTACCCTACAAGAAAAATCGAGATGCCGAATGGTATACCGCTCGTGTGGTATTCAAGATACGAAGCAAGCACAGTAAACAGTCAATACAGACCATACCCCAGAGAGATAACCCTTATATGAATTGTGTCTATACTGAGTTATGCTTAGATATTGCATGTTTCCAGCTGGCACGTGATAGTATTATCGCAGTGTATATATTTATATATACCCGAATGTGTACACCCATACCCCTGCCCCGATGAGGTGCATATATATCCCAGCTGTAAACTGTTAGTTTGGCATGTATATGAACCGCCCAACCAATGGGCGAAATGTCAATACTTAAGTGAGCATTTCAAACGGACCAGTGGATTTCAGAGTTTGAGGATTCTTCCCAATGTACTGAATTTCAACCGGGAAAAATCGAGGGTGGTGACTGAAAGAAATTCGACTAATTATGTGGACAGTTAGTTAGTACAACTTATTGACCTATTCAATTTGTTGTTCTCGTTTTATCTTCGGCCAAATGTTAGCTCACAAAACGGTCAGTGTCAAAATACTTGATATTCTTCAAACAATGAAAACAGTATACTCCAGTCTACAAGGTCACAAGTAGTTCAGTTTGTCTATTCCTGAAACCAATGTATATTTATCCCTGCTATTTGCTTGTTCTGTGTTGCATGAATCGTCTTGCCAGTAGTTTGAAAAACAAACCAAAATAAGCTGTCACGTGATGAACATCATAATGACAAAAAGGCAACAAACCCATACCCTTGACTATTACAATTTTGCACACACACATGCATAACTGCGTGTGAGACTGTCCCCACAGTTACCTAGTGTTGCTTCCCTTTCTATGTTTATGCATATTTCTTATTTACAGGGTTACGGCCCGGGCCTAGTGCGACCGGAAGGAAGTCAAGTTTCTGAACTTCGCGGAAGGATCAAACGTTTGGTTTGTCGGACCAGACGCGATCCTCATTATTATCGTTTTCTCCCTGCTGGTAACTAAAATATTTTCTCCCCACAATCGACGCTGACAAACATATGACTCGGCTTCGTAATTCGAAGCAAACCAAAATGGATCACACACACACACATTCTTAGAAAACTGAGAGGGAATTGGATTTCGTTGCAGAGAGACAAGGCGTTTGTTGCATTTGTTACACACACACACATGCACATACATGCACGCACGCGAATACCACATTGTTTGAGTTAACTCTCTGTCTATCTGATTTGAAATGCCCATTTTTCTCGTTAAGAACGAGATGAATTATATAAAAATATCACCGAATGTGTTGTTCCCAATTATTCAAGAATGTTATTTATTTATTCCTGACCCATCTCGACCGACAAGTGCCTTTCATTCAGTACTACATCGGATGTCACTGTTCGAACGCATCACCTCAAGGCCACTGGCACGCATGCAGGTGCGCGCATCCGTGCGTCATTGCGTGCGTCAACACTCATCCACTCACTCACTCACCCACCCACCCNCACAGAGGGCGGGCAAACTTCCTTGCGCCTTACCTTTATCCTTCTGCCTCTATCTTTTTGCCTAGCCTATATTTTGATCCAAAATAACAAATACTGTTTTTTTCGAACTAATTTTTTATTGAAAGCTCTTGAGCATTGCAGATGCAAATTTCTTTTGTCAATTTTTGTTGCTTCCTCCATCGTCACCCATAAAAAATTGCATTATAGATAGAAGGATAATCATCTAAACACATGGGCCCTGACAAAGGTCAAGCGGACCGCATTTGAGGTCATTAAACAATTCAGTGACTTATTTTGATTTCTTACTCATTTCTCTTCTTTTATCGCTCACTGATTCGGATGGGGCATGAGCGGAAAAAAGGTTAAACCATCTATGATATATCAGCTAAGAAACTAAATCTTACGCGCCCATCATCACATCTGCGTATGCACACACGCAAACACACCCAGGTTGGTGCACTCAAACAAATACACACACTGCATATTGCTCTTACTTTCAACTGCAGAAAAAACTTCAAGCATTTGTTTGTTCTTTATTGATTGCTGAAATTCCATGCGTACTACTGGAATTATTTAACCTTGCAGATTGTAACAAACTGATTTTCAATCGTAGTTCATATTGACTTTTCTGTTTTCTTTTGTTGCATCTGCATCAGCATTATTCTACATGTGTGCGCGGGTGCGTGTATGTGTGCGAATGTATGCTTGTGTGTGTGTGTGTGTGTGTGTGCGAGAGAGACAATGCCTCAATGTGTGCCTATCTATTGATTTGTTCTACAATGATAGTTATTGTTCAATTCTCTCCCCGCCCGCCATACTGCTTGGCCAACTGAATCGAATGTAGTACTTCAATCAAACGATGAATCACTTATGAAATGAACGAACTGCAATTGCCTTCTGATTGTCTTCCGTGAGGTTTGCTTTGAGGAGGGGGTTGGGTTTTGAAATATTGACATACAAAACAATGTACATCCACATGGATAGTTTGATCGACTATAGGTAAAAATATCCTATGCGGCTATCCTGATGTAAACAGAAAGTAACATATGTAAGTAAATACCAGTTGACCGATTTCGCACAGTATTATGGCATTGGATCATAACTATTTAGCCATATACATATACACAAACGAATAAAACATGGTGCTCGTTTCCCGATGCAACATCGTAATCATGGTATCCACGGCTCTCCCTATATATCTGAGAGCTTGGATTGCACTTTTAGCATACTAGTAAAAAGTTAGCGTTTCTGTGTTGTTACGTGTTTGGAATCAATCTTCTACACTTTTGAAGGTAAATCTTATCGGGATAGGTAATTTGGTAAAGCATATCAAACCTTCTAGTTCTGCCGCGCAGAAAAATGAGCCCCCTAACCATGCCAAATATGCATATGG